CTTGTAGCATTCAAATCCAGTTCCACACTTGGTGGTAAAGAATATTTTTCTTAACTGTGCAGGTGCCTCAAGCACCAAGTGAGAATAGGTGTTTGGTCTGACCTTCCTCAAAACATAGTTATTCTTTTTTTTTTTAAAGATTTTATTTATTTTTACATAGAAGAACTGGGATACAGGCCAGAGGTGCAGGGAGGGGTGGTGGTGGTGAAAGGATTCACCAGAGACAGAGTGGGGAGCACAACAGGCAGACTGACTTAAATACACTGCTGAGGGGAGCCACTGGCATGACAGGAGAGGTCTGCTGTGCCATGTGGGTAGCTCCCTGGTTGGCCAGAGATTGAATTTGTGCTGCAGAGGCTGCAGATATCTTCATAGTTCTGTGCTTTAATCCCTTGCCCCATGATGGAGACCCCCAAAACTTAGTCATTCTTAAGAAAAAAATGAAACAAAGAAAGATATGTTGACAAAGGAAAGAGACTGACATCTCTCATTCCATAGATGGAAAGTGTGGGAGTTAATTCTAAAGAACAATGTATTTTGTTAATGTACATCAGGTAACAGATAACCTGTTAATTTTTTTGTTTTTTTAAAGATTAATTTATACATACAAACTGGATTATAAGCCAGAGGTGCGGGGTGAGAGGATTCACCAGAGAGAGTGGGGAGCAGAACAGGCAGATTGACTGGAATACACTGCTGAGGAGCACAGTGGGCGAGACAGGAGAGGTCTGCTGTGCCATGTGGGTTGCTCCCTGGCCGGGGATCAAAGTCCTGCTGCAATGGCTAGTGGTAGCTTGATAGCACTTTGTCCTTAAACCCTGCACCACCAGGGAGGCCCCCATCAATGATTTTTATGCTTGTGTATGGCTGCTTTGTAGGAGGCTCAGTAGTTAAAAATAGATCCAGTAAACAGTAACACGGGTGATTTGTTAATTGGGAAAAAGTGTACTTTGCAAATGACCGAAGTCTGGGAAATACTATTGTGGAAAATACCAACTATTTGGGGGAAGGGTTTTAAACCAGAGATTTAATGGAAAGACATACCCTCAGCCTCATCCATCACTAGAAAAGTGCAAGATAATAAAGTTAGAATGAGATACAATTTTACACCTTTCAGATTGGTAAAGATTTTAAAGCTTCTCACTTCAGTAGCACATATACTAAATTTAGAACCACACAGAGGGAATTGGTGTGGTCCCTGGGCAAAGATGACATGCAAATTAATGGCAAGTCCCGTGAGACTGTTATGTGAAGGTTCAGGTTGTGTTATTGAGAACAGGCGCTCTCTTGAGCAGGGAAAAGAAGAGGGAGAAAGTGAGATCTTTGAAAGTAAATAAAAATGTGGTCATTTTGGATACTAATTGGAAAATTCACTATAAACTCATTATGTAGTTTTAAAATAAATCATAGCTTTTTAATGCTAAAAAGACTTATAAATAATGACCAATGCAATATAAATGCCTCTAATACCCTGCTGTACACTGGTCTCCAAATGCCACTTCCCAGGGCTCTTTGGAGAAATAGCTGATTTTGTGCCTGGACAGGAAAGATACAACATAATCTGGAACATTTTATCAAACAAAAAACAACAAAGCTGAAAAAGACCACTAGAGTTATGTCAGGCCTCAAAAGCCAGCTTAAACTCCCGCTGGCCAAAGAAGGGCAATTTATACATCAGTGAGGTAATAACTACAGGAAACAAAATGCATGAATATGTCTACATCTGTGAGTTTATTTCTATACTGAAAACAATTCAAAACAAAAGGAAACCTCATTGGTTCCCTTTCAAGGATTCTAGTAACAACTCATTTTTTTAAAATTGGGAATAAAAAAAATCAAGCATTCATGCTGTGTTTCCTATATCTGGGTAACCAAATAGTTGATGAGGGTAAGTTTCTCTTTCTAGACATTTCCAGCTACTAAATGAGGAAGGAATGATGGCATAACACCATCTTGCAATCATCATCAGTGTCTGCTAACACTGATCCAGAATAGACATACTAGACATGGGGCAGGATGTGCCTTCCGAGGGAAGAACACAAATCCCCAAATTAAATCTGATTAAGATTCTAGATCTAACTACCAGTTCATAAGAGGGACATGTAAGTACGCAGTTATGGTCAGCAAAATACAGGCTATGGGAGACTCTCTAGGACAAACCATCTAATTTCTTCAACAAATAAGGACAAAGATAAAACTGGGGTGGGATGGAAGAGACATAGAAGGAGTACCTATAAATTTTTAAAAAGACATAGATTGTAATGTACGGAATTTTTTGAATCTTGATTTAAACGAACTACTAGCAAAATTGAGACTGTGGAAAATTGAGGACTGATATCTGTTGATAATAGGAAACTATTGCTAATTTATTGAGTTGTCATCATGGAGTTGTGGTCACAGTTTTAAAATCCCTCTGTTAGAAATATATAATGAAATATCTACAGGAGTGGGGAAGGGAGTGGGTGATGGGCACAGGGGAAAGTCTTATGATCTTTTCTTTGCTTTTGCTTTTGCAATTTTGTACAACAAAATGTTTCAAAAGTTGAAACATCCAGTTTGGGCAATGATCTGGAGAAATGATCTCTCTCACACACTGTTGATGTGAGTATTTTGGAGGGCCATATAACAGTATCTGTCCAAAGAGCCAGGGAACATGTATTCTTTTTTTTAAAAGATTTATTTATTTATGTATACAAGAACTGGGGTACAGACTAGAGGTGTGGGGGGTGAGAGGATTCACCAGAGACAGAGTGGGGAACAGAACAGGCAGATTGACTGATCTACACTGCTGAGAGGAGCAGTGGGTGAGACAGCAGAGGTCTGCTGCACCATGTAGATAGCTCTCTGGCTGGCCAGGGATTGAACTTGTGCTGCAGAGGCTACAGATAGCTTCACAGTGCCATGCTTAACCCTTGTGCCACCAGGGAGGCCTGAATATATATATATATATACTTTGACCCAGGAATTCCACTTTTGAGAATGTAACCTAAAGAAATGGTCATAAAGTATTTCCCACAACATTGTTAGTAATGGCAAGGAAACTATGAATAAATACAGTGTCCACCAACAGTAGATACTTAAATAAATATATCATTGTTAGTAACAGCAGGAAGAGGCAAACAACTGAAATGTTTGTCAATAGGGGATGTTTAAATAAATTTTGGTGTATCTACTCAATGGACTAGCCACATCCTGAAGTTATTGAAAAGAATGAAAGGAAGATCTACACATTTGGTGAAATGAAAAATAAATATTAGGTCTTTGTCCTTGTTCCTGGCACAGAGCTCCTAAAACCCTTTGAATTTACTGTCTATTGAATGTTAATGAAATGACTTTCTGGGGACCTGGGGGCTAGATAACTTTAGGATGGGGACTGGTGGCCAGAGAAAAGTGGGGGGCAATCTTGTTGGATTGACCCTTAACTTTCTTGGGGTTTCAGCTCACTATAGAAATTGGTGTTAGAATTAAATCATTATCATTAGAAGATTAGAGTGTCAGAGTACTGTAGAACTGATCAGTGTCAGGAAAAAACAAGGCAACAGGTACTGTCATAGAAAGATCTCCAAGGTTTATCTTTCAGATTAATTTTTTTTTAAAAAAAAGCAAGTTCTCCTTTATTGGAAGACCATAAATTCCAGTGCTCTAGAACAAAACAAAAACTACTCTTCTTCATTCATTTTTCATCCAACAAGTATTTATTGTACACTTTGTGCCCAGTGCTATGGTCAACATATATATTAGTGAAAACACATGTTTATTTTTTTATATCAATAAAACTGGAAAAATTAATATTTATTATTAAAAATATTGTCTACATTTGACTTTTGCTCTTTTATACAATTTTTTATTTCTTTTTATTATTTAAATTTTATTTTTATATTCCCCTTACAATTACAACCCCCTTATTTTGACCCCAAGCCCTCCTTTCCCCGCCCCCCACCCCCCATAGAGTGTCTCTGGTTCATAGTTGTTTGTTGATTTTGATATTTTCTTTCTTATAGTTATTCTTTTTCCTGGTCCCTTATTTAAGTTTTCTAGATTCCTGCTATGAGTGAGACCATCCGGTATTTTTCTTTTTCTTTCTGGCTTATTTCGCTGAGCATGATCCCTTTTAGCTCCATCCATGTTGCTGCAAATTGCATGAGTTTATCTTTTTTGATTGCTGAGTAATAGTCCATGGTGTATATGTACCACATCTTCTTGATCCAGTCATCGATTTTTGGGCATTTGAGTTGTTTCCAAAGCTTAGCTATTGTAAACAGTGCTGCTATAAACATAGGGGTGCAGGTGCTCTTTGGAATTGATGTTTCTGTGTCCTTTGGGTAAATACCTAGGAGTGGAATTGCTGGATCACATGGAAGCTCTATGTTTAGTAGGTCCAGAAATCTCCACACAGCTCTCCATAGTGGTTGGACCAGTTTGCACTCCCACCAACAGTACAGGAGAGTTCCTTTTTCTGTACATCCTCGCCAACATTTGTTGTTGCTAGTTTTTTTAATATGTGCCATTCTCACTGGTATAAGATGGCATCTTATTGTAGTTTTGATCTGCATTTCCCTGATTACAAGTGATGTTGAACAATTTTTCATATGCCTGTTGGCCATTTGCATTTTCTCTTTGGAGAAGTTTCTTTTTAGCTGTTCTGCCCATTTTTTGACTGGATTATTTTCTTTGTTTTTGTTGAGTCTCATCAGATCTTTGTAGATTTTTGTGATCAGTCCTTTATCATTAGTGAAACACATGTTTAAATCTCCAAAGTGAACATGGTGACCCCCAGGGAAAGGTGCCACATTGGGGAGAGATGTGCATTTTCATTTTATATAGTTCTGGATTCTTCAAATTTTCTTTAATAAGGGTTGCTTTTGTAATTAAAAAAATGTAAAAAATAAAAGATGCTTGCAAGATCCTTCTTAATTGTTCCTAGAAAGGGAAGTGTGAAATCAGCAGTGTCCTGGCCGCGTGAGAAGGAAACTGATACCATTCTGTGTTCTCCCTTACAGGAGTTCAGAGGTGTGAGGAACACTGGCCCCAAAAACACCCCTCCTCAGGGAAGATTTCCTCCCACACCAGCTCTGTTTGCACTCTGTCCCTTTGTAAGATCCTTCTGTTCCATGTTACCTGAATCACAGAAGAAATCAGACTCTCCCAACTTACTCTCTTCCCAGAAGTGCAAGAAGCAAAGGACGAAATGTTGTTTCAGCCTCATCCTGAGGCATCAGGAAGAAAAAGAACTTCAGGGGTCCAGTACCTAGACTCCTGTTGGGAAAACTTCAAGGGTTGGGCTAGCCTCTTTAGAATCATCTCATTCCGGGCCTCCCCGGTGGCGCAGCGGTTGAGCGCTGGCTTGCGAAGCTGCCCGCGGCCTCTGCGGCGCCGGTTCGATCCCCGGCTGCTCCCCGGCCACCGGAGGAGGGTCCCACATGGCGCGCAGACCTCTCCTGCCGCCCGCTGCTCCCCTCAGCAGTGTACCTCGGTCCTTCTGCCTGTTCTGCTCCCCGCTCTGGCTCTGGTGAATTCTCTCACCCTCCCGCGCTTCTGACTGTACCCAGTGCATGTATAAACAAAACAAACAAACAAATAAATAAATAAATAAATAAATAAAAACATGCCTCTATTTAAAAAAAAAAAAAGAATCATCTCATTCCACCTGGCCCCTCTGAATCTTGCTGGTTGGAAAGACTGAAAAACTGGTAACAAGGGGAAAAGGTCATGCAACTTGTTGGAGCTTAGTAAGATGCTTAAAGGCAGCTCAAGAGATGCCCTGATAAATACCAACATATTAGCTAAGTGTTCAAATAGAAGAATGTTATTAAATGAGGAAAAGTAATGAGAGAAGCCATTTTAAAGGCGGGGTTCTCACACAGACAGGCTGAGAAAGATACATAAATCCCTGATATTTGCAAGATTCTATGTGTTTTGTGTGCCTGTTTGGTGGTTTTTTTTTTTTTTGGTTTTTTTTTTTTTAATTTGGCAGCTCTTCTTAAAAAATCAGGTGATAAAATTAATAGTAAAGAAAATTATATGAGCAAATATTTTTCATTTAGAAATAAGTTGGTTTGGGGCCTCCCTGGTGGTGCAAGGGGTTAAGCACAGCACTGTGAAGCTATCCGCAGCCACTGCAGCACAAGTTCAATCCCCTGGTCCACCAGGGAGCTACCCATGTGTCATAGCAGACCTCTCCTGTCTTGCCTGCTGCTCCCCTCAGCAGTGTATTTCAGTACATCTGCCTGTTCTGCTCTCCACTCTGTCTCTGGTGAATCCTCTCAACTCCCTACATCTCTGGCCTGCACCCCAGCTCTTGTATGTATAAATAAACAAATCTTCAAAAAAAAATAAAATGGGCAAAGAAACTGAATAGACATTTCTCCAAAGAATATTTTCAGGACCAACATGCACATGAAAAGATGTTCAACGTTACTAATCATTAGAAAAATGCAAGTCAAAGTCACATTTAGGTATCACCCCACATCCATTAGGATGGCCACTATCAAAAAACCAGAAATTAACAGGTGTTGGTAAGGATGTAGGGAAATTGAAACTTTTGTGCTGCTGGTGGGAATGTACAGGGGGGCAGCCACTATAGAAAACACGATGGAGCTTCCTCAAAAAACTGAAAGAATTTCCTATAATCTAGCAGCCTCATTTCTGAATCTATATCCAAAAGAATTGAAAGTAGTATCTCAAAGTAGTGAATGTCTCAGAGATGTTTACATAAACATGTTCATTTTAACAGTCACAAAAGCCAACAGACATAAACAGCCCAAGTGCCTACATGAATGAATAAGGGAAAAAATGGTATACAGTTGTTGTTTTAAAGATTGATTTATTTATGCATACAAGAACTGGGGTCCAGGCCAGAGGTGTGGGGGTTGGTGGTGAGAGGATTCACCAGAGACAGAGTGGGGAACAGAACAGGCAGATCTACTGAAATACACTGCTCAGGAGAACAGTGGGAGAGACAGGAGAGGTCTGCTGAGCCATGTGGGAAGCTCCCTAGACAGCTGGGGATGGAACTCCTGCTGCAGAGGCTGTGGATATCTTCACAGTGCTGTGCTCAACCCCTTGCGCCACCATGGAGGCCCCCGTATATAGTTATAATGCAGTGTTATTCAGCACTTGAAAACTAGGAAATCCTGTCACATGCTACAACCTGGGTTGTACCTGGGTTGACATTATGAGTGAAATAAAGCAGTAGAGAGTCACACACACACACACACACTAAAAAGCCTATATGATTTCTCTTACATGAGTATATAGAGTTGTCAAAATCATAGAGACAGAAAGCAGTGTGATAGTTGCCAGGGGCTGGCTGAAGAGGAAATGGAAAGTTGTATTTCATGGGTATTGAGTTTCAGTTTGGCAAGACGAAAAAGTTCTAGAGATCTGTTACACAACACCGTGAATATAATTAACACTACTGAGCTGTATACCTAAAAATGGTTAAAAGAGTTTTATGTTATGTTTATTAACCCCATTTTTCAGAAAGTAGTAAAACCCAGAAGAATAAATTTAACCACAAGGGCAAATCTTTCTGACCTTGAATTAGGCATGAACTAAAAGCCCAAATAACCAAAGAAAAATAGTTAAACTGATCTTTAAAGACACGTCATCCAAAGCAGTGATAGTGAAGGCAAAGATAAACAGCTGGGACTACATCAAATTAAAGAGCTTCTGTACAGCAAAAGAGACAGTAACCAAAACAAAGAGACACCCCACAAATTGGGAGAAAATTTTTGCACACAACACTAATGATAAAGGACATTTTCTCCAAAGAGAAAATGCAAATGGCCAACAGGCATTATGAAAAAATGTTCAACAACACTTGTAATCAGGGAAATGCAAATCAAAACTACCATGAGATACCATCTCACACCAGTGAGAATGGCACACATTAAAAAAACTAGCAACAACAAATGTTGGCGAGGATGTGCAGAAAAAGGAACTCTCCTGCACTGCTGGTGGGAGTGCAAATTAGTCCAACCACCATGGAAAGCTGTGTGGAGATTCCTCAACCTGCTAAAGATGGAGCTTCCATATGATCCAGCAATTCCACTCCTAGGTATTTACCCAAAGGACACAGAAACATCAATTCCAAAGAGCACCTGCACCCCTATGTTTATAGCAGCACTGTTTACAATAGCTAAGCTTTGGAAACAACCCAAATGCCCAAAAATCGATGACTGGATCAAGAAGATGTGGTACATATACACAATGGAATGTTACTCAGCTATCAAAAAAGATAAACTCATGCAATTTGCAGCAACATGGATGGAGCTGGAAGGGATCAGGCTCAGTGAAATAAGCCAGAAAGAAAAAGAAAAATACCGGATAGTCTTACTCATAGTAGGAATTTAGAAAACCTAAATAAGGGACCAGGAAAAAACCTAATTATAATAAAGTAAAAATCAAAATCAACAAGCAACTATAAACCAGAGACACACTATGGGGGGGTGGAGGGGGCGGGGAGGGAGTAGGAGCAAAACAGGGGGCTGGGAATTGTATGGGGGACTACAACCAAGATGAAAATGCATGCATACATTGTACAAAAATGAAAAATGATGTAAAAAATATATAAAATAAAATTTTTTAAAATGTAAAAAAAACCTTTTAAAATTTTTAAAAATTGTTATTTGCAATTCAATCTTTCATTTAGTGGACATAATAGACCACTTAAAAACCTTGAATAAAGCATTTGTACCACTCTAATAAATAATTATGTGCAGGATAAAAAAATTTAAAAAAGAAAAATAGTTAAACTGAGCTCTAAAAATTTTAAAATTTTGTGTGTCAAAGACCACACTATCAAGAAAATGAAATAGACTATGAGAAAATTTTACAAATCATTTATCTGGTAAGGATGAAGTGTCCAGAATATATAAAGAACACTTACAACTCAACTATAAAGAGATAAATAACCTAACTAAAAATTGAACAAAGTATTTGAATAGTGATTTCTCCAAAGCAGATATACAAATGGCCAGCAAGCACCTGAAAAGCCACATGGACATACCACCTTACACCACTAGATTGGCTGTGGTTTAAGAAAATAATCAGTATGGATGAGAATGTAGAGAGATTTGGAACCCACATACATCGCCTCCTCAGGAAACTGCTTGGCAGTTTCTCAATAAGTTAAACAGTCACCATGTGATTCCCTCCAAAGTGTATACCAGAGAGAATTAAAAACATATGTCCACAAAAATTGTTCATGGATGTTCATAGCAGCATTATTCATAACAGTTCCAACATGAAAACAATTCAAATGTTCATCAACTGGTGAATGGATAAACAAGATGAATAGATAAAATATTCTCTGCTTCCATTCTCTCTAAGCTCTCAGCCCTTTCATCCTAGCTTCTTCATAGTTTCATATAAACCCTGAAGAAAGCAAAGGAGAAGGTAGTTTACATGATGTGAGAATTGGAAGACCAAATCTTACTCTTCCATAGAGGCTGCTTGTTAATCTATAGTAATTTTTTAAGATTTATTTATTTATGCATGCAAGAACTGGGGTCCAGGCCAGAGGTGTGGGGGATGGGAGAATTCACCAGAGAGAGTGGGGAACAGAACAGGCAGATTGACTGACTGAAACACACTGCTGAGGGGAGCAGCAGGTGAGTCAGGAGAGGTCTGCTGCGCCATGTGGGTTGCTCCTTGGCTAGCTGGGGATCAAACTTGTGCTGTTGGGGCTGTGGACAGCCTCATAGTTTGCATCTTAACCCCTTGCGTGAACAGGGAAGCCATATAGTAATTTTTTATAAAGAAAACCTCCTGACAGCGTGACCTTTGGAGGTGTATTCCCACTCTTTCTTTGGGTAAGGGAGGTCCTGCTTTCAGATGGCACGAAGGCCAGGTCTGGAGAGTCCAGGTGGACCAATCACTCACTCGGCACTAGGCTATGCACTCAGCAGACTCTGTTTGGCACCACGTTAGGTGCTGTGGTGTCTGTAGGAATAGGTATATGGCTTTCCTCCTAGAGTTGTGGAATTCAGGAGTGTAGTGTGACCAGGCTGAAACCAAGGCAAACCC